GGTGTCCACTGCATCTGTCAGCCCATGGATAGCATGGGGTGGTATTACCATGAACATAATACCTCGGAATGATAGCGATTTTGATTTTGAAACAATTTCGCTGAAAGGATCCAGCTACAAAAAACTAGTAAGAAGATCACAATGACGAAAAAGCCATATTTGCAGTGCTTATTTACAGTCTCGAAACATGTACCGTCTTTATCGGCCATGAATCTGTTCTATACAGCTTTAAACAACGCTAACTGCGAAGCATCTTCAAAATGCGATGACACAATCGAGTAAAGAACAACTAAGTGCTGACCATCAGTTTGACAAAACTGCAAAAAGGACTCTCTGGGACCAACATACGTCCAGCATGGTTTTACAAAATGACCCGAAACGAGAAAGTCAATATGGTCAAAACCCGGACATACTGCAAGACAAAACAAAATGTGGAAACACCTCGTTGAGCCAAATGTGCTTTCCACGATTAATTCAGTAGTGACCTTGCCTAATATCGATCGGAAATATTATTCTAAATGTCAGACAGCATTAATCTTGACTATGCTGCTGTTCAAGCTCTATCAGTTTTACGTGACCATAAATACAACAACAATTCATCATTTACTTAGAGAATTAATTCTGAAATTTACTACACTTCATCTGGGACAAAAGAATATATTCTCAGTACTGCAAACCCCCCTATTACTGTGGGAAACCTGGCTCTTACACTAACCTGGGGCATTAAAACTGAAGTTTTCAATAAACTAGATTCAGAATTTGAAAAGGACTTAGAACACCTGGTGAAGAACTTGAAAATATTAATAAAATAAGGAGGGATTGCGGATTACGAGTTATACCATAATATTTTCTCATATGCGTACCAAACTCCCACTTCAGTTCCCGATTGACGTTTAACGAATTCGTCCGTCTAACGCAAGAAAAGGCATCATTTCGACAAAAATTCGCTCAATAGGGGTTAAACTATAGCTAAGGAACGCACCTTTTGTCCCAGATAAAGTGCCTCAAAAAGCAAAGCTAATTATTATGTAAAGCATCAATGATCAGTTTTGGCGCTCATTTCCGAAGCTTTAATACGCTTGTTAGCCCTCAACCCCGTAATCAACATTTCCCGAACTTTTTCAATATGTCGTATAAAATATATAAACCTATTCAATCTTTGCATGGTAAGTTTTCAAGGCACATCGATACTTATGATAGTTTCAATGCAAACTACACAAGAACAAAAATGTGTCGAAAAAGCACTAGTAAATTTTCAATGCAAAAGATGAATGGAGTTTTGTAAGGTAGACTGAGGAAGTATGAAAGAACACGAGAGCAAAATCCGAAAATGGAGTCACTAATTATTCATCTGCGTTTCAATGCAATACCTCTTGGACAGGAGCACTCCCCTATTTAACAAATCTGCTTGGGAATGGGCTAAATTAAAGTGCTCACTGAAACGGGGTCCGTACCTGAAGAAATATGCAACAAATACGTGATCAGGCTGTTGGATAAGCTATACGTCAAAACAGGACATACTCCGCCTTACTAGCGTGTGCCGTGAATACTTACGCTGAGTACCAATTCCCGTTGGTTGGGAATGTGAGACTGCTCTAATCAGCAAAATCATACCAAGTGCACCAACCCTGCTGGTGTTCAAGTACCAGTGAGCGATTGCTTTCATAAATACCCCTCATCGTGGTAACAGCGCAGTGCAAGAAACCGTGAATTCTGGTCTTTGATGGAGTTTGCTTAAACACCTGAACGCGGGAACGGAGGGTCGGGATTCCACCCCATGCTATGCTCGCCTCAGCAGCCCTTTGGGAAAATTAGATCTGAGGGGCAGGGGGGTGCAATTTCAAGGCATCAGTGCTTCGGTGCTAATAAAATATGCACTAACATCTTGACGGTGTTGCGCATTCGCTACCGTGCTCTCCAAATATTTACGCCTGTGGTATAAAAACCTTTGCTCGGCATGGGTGAAAAACTCCTCAGCTCTCGGCACTTCGCGTAGACACGTGCCGCCGACCGAACCCAAGGCAAATTGCAGCATTGTTTGCCTTGTGTGTCGGCGACACCGGTGAACATCGAAAGTAAAATATGCTTCGGACTCGTGAAATTAACGTGAAAAAAATCGATCGCCTCCAAAAAATAACTTCCAACTACGTTAAATTAATCAAATAATCGCCGATCGATCTATCGATCGACGCATCTGCGTGTTTTGGTCCTTGGTCGAGCGGAAAGCTTCTTTCACAGACGATCAGCAGCTTCGTTCCGGTAGTCGAGATCATTGGTTCATTTCCTTACGCGAAGATTACGCTGATGGTTATCGTGTACCGAGGAAATGAGTTACGCTTACCCTTGATCGAGTCACGAATCTGCTCGGCGGACGGCATTGTCGGCAAAGTCGTCGTTCAGTGGTAGCTCAGTCCATAAATCTGCGTTCTCTTTCGCACCGGACTGACGACACTGCAAAGTACACACACTTATATGAGCACTTGTTGGTCTTTCCTCTGCCCGCTCGAAGACCTCCTCGTCGACGACCACACAAACTTAATCTATTGATTATCTAAAATAAGACGTTTAATTTCACAGCTACAGTGAATGAGCCTAGAAAACCTGCGAATCAATAACGATAGCGATATTTTTATATAATATCCGCTGACTAGGCTGCAATGATATTTCGCGGTGTGACCTCGAATTTGCACAATTACGGCGCAGTACAGATCGACAATAGCAAAACTTTTTGAATGGACTTAAAGCTCAAGCAGCCCTTGTACATTTTGACAAAACAGCAAACCATTGTGAAAAAGAAAGGTAGAGTGAATGCTATATACTAAGAATAAAACAACAGATCTTTGCGTATCGCGAAAATAAACTTGAGAAATAAGTAAAATGAATTGGGTGGGAGATCGCTGAAGTATGAGTTTTGGCAATGGTGGATCTGGTAAGAAATTCGCTTTGCCCCTTGTAATAATCATTCTCAAATCTCCTTCATGCAGAAAATTTTCTCTGACTAACAGCTAATTCGCTTAAGCAAAAAATTCATCCGACTGCCCTTCAAAGTAACTATCAAAAAGGTGCGTAACTAGCTAGCATTAGAACACTGAGAGTGGCAAATAGTTTTGGTGCTGAGATGATAAAAGCGTGCAGGACGTCCCATGACGATAAAGCCTTCCTATCTGGTGCGTGGGTCATCCAATTGCAGTCAGCGTTGACTTACCTGTCAACTGATCGATAATCGACATACCGTGAAAACGTAAATTCAGAAACACAGCGCGCATCGCATAATCGAGGTCGCATTCTCAATGATTCGTGGTACACAGGCCCGGTTTTTGCAAAGTGAATCTTTAGATGATCACCTATAGCTTTTTGCGGCAGCGAAAATTCTTTGATTCTTATGCGTTTTGTATTCGCGGCCCTGTAACACGTTTGCTGTTCACATGAGTCAGATGTCACTAGATCATCAATGGAATCATTTCTGCCTGAACGCTGATTACATTTTCTTGCCCTTTCTTTCCGTAAATTTTATATGAGAATAGCTTATCTATTCACTCGTGCATGAAAAACTCGCAGACTGAGCCGGAAAGGCTTTTGACCTTCGATAAACAAAAGGACTTTTTACAGAACCGGCCTTTTTGACTACTTTACTACTCAAACTAGTCTTTTCTACAAAATATGTTCAGCATGATTTAGGAATTGTTTTACTCGAATAAAAGTTTTGAAATATTAGGTTATTTGATTGCGATTTTTCATTTTACTAATTAAACACATTAGTACGTAACCACTGTTTAATTCGGAGCGAGATTCGCATAGATCCTCCCTTTCAGTTTTGCGAGCCACCTTT